TATATATGACAATAAATTGCTTACTTGAAAATAAGGTCTGGGATAGGGCTCCAAGGAAAGAATTGTCCCAAGTCTACGGACAACACTTCGAGTAGATCCATATTCCTTTTTTTGGCAAAGAGATGTGACCTAAAAATCAGAAAACCTTTGAACCTGAGAAGCAAAACAGTAGCCCTCAGTTCTTAATCTCACTCTAATCAAAGTTATTTAATTATTCCATGTTACAGGTAACTAAATAGAATGCAGTTTGGTTAACGTAACTTTTCAATGTTCTTCTCAAGCTGAAAGTCCAAGTCCACCATACCTACACTGGTATGGCAGACAGCGTCTAAAACACTGCCAAAATACAGAATATTTTAAAGCGGCACAAAGGCCAATATCTTCAGATGCTGGCAAAAGTACCCATTTAATTACCACATATACCCGTATAAGTCTTGGGAAAGAACAATTAGCAAAAAAGTGAAATAAATGTAACATACCTTGGCCTGATACTTCCTTATGACAGCGTATAACTGCTGGAAATGCCTTCCTGATGAGACTGCTGAAGGAAGGCATGTTCTGAGCGTACGACTTATACTGCTGCCAAACATTTGAGTTTCAAAAAACACGGCCTGTCAAAAAAATCAACAGCTTCGAACAACGGAACCAGAAAGTAAACAGGGCAGCTCAGCCAAATCAGCACTCCTGGAGATACTCAGTAGCTTCGCCAGGATTATCTCAGAACCACAAGCCGCAGCAGTGCCTCGCTGCTGACAGCCCCCACTGAGGAGCTGCCCACGACCTCACGCTCCAACATCAGCCCCGGGCACAGCACCAAGGCCTCTTCCAGATTCCCCCGCCACGCCTTCCCGGTCTCTGAACACGCGGGATTAATTGCTGCTTGGGAAGGGGGACGTAGCCTTGTATTTGAAACAACAAAACACGAGCAGCCAACACCGCGACTTTCTTACGCTCTTCAAGGGAACAAAGAGCCACTCGAGCGGCTGTGTCAGGGCGGTGACCCCACGCGTCCCCACGTGCAGGCAGCGTGTTCCGACAAACCCGGCCGCGGGCAAGGAGGGCGCTAAAGCCGCCCCACCGCTCGCAGTGCGACCACCTTCCCGCCCCTCCCTTCCCGCCGAGCCAAGCGGCTGCAGGCGAGACGCTCCGCCCGAGCGGCTCTTGGGGCGGAGGCAGGCGCCGCGGGCTCTCACCTGGTGGCGCGGCCAGCCGAGGCAGCGCAGCAGCCGCCGGAGGAGCTGCAGCAGCAGCAGCGCCATGGCGGGCACGGACCCCGCCCGCGCTCAGCCCGAGCCGGCGGCACCGCCAGCAGCGAAACCGCCCGCGCCGCAGAGCCACCCGCGGCTGGGGGCGGGGCACCGCGGCAGCCCTGCCAATAGGAAGCCGACATGCCCGCGGCAGAGCCAATGAGCGGCGGGGCTGGCCCTCGCGGGGGGTGTCGGGAGGGAGCGGTTTGAACGCCGCGCTGCACGGGCCTACCCCTCTTCCCAGGGAGCGCTCCCAGGAATGCGGGCGGCGCGGGGTCCACAGCGCACCGCGGCTAGCTCCTACACCTGACTGACCAAGGGGTTGTACTCACAAGTAAACGCGGCTTCTGCCTCTGCGAAGGCAGAACACAGTACGCACCAACAGAAGAAATGAACCGGCGCCTGTTAACTCACTTAACAAATGGCAAAGAGCTAAACTGAGATCGTTTAGGTCTTCGATGTAGCGAACTCGTAACTACTTCATTCACACACCTAGAACAAATGCACAAAGTATCCTCAACACAACACAACTGCCCAGTAACACCTGGCTACGCTGACTTCACTTCAAAAACTGTCTTTGAAATTCTGCATTTGCTCTTTATCTTGCACTACTTTCAGCTTTATAAGGGAGATTTCTACTGTTTTCCCTCAAGAAAATTTGAAAGCTTCTACAAAGTTAGCAGTGCTTCTACTAGGAGAAGAAATACCTTTTTCATCCAGCAATGCAGTCGGTGTTTGGAAATCACCTTCCCTCGTGTGTGCACCTCCCTCGGTATTCCTATAGTCAGTACTGGAGTTCCTACGCATTGCTAGTTACTGTTACCCATGACCTGTCAAATGGATCAATTATCTAAGACCAAACACAAAGGAGGAGCAGTACTGGTAATACACATTGCAGTAACAGTTGGTTCAGGGGACTGTGAAGGTTTAAGCTTGAGGAGAAGAAGGGCAGAACATTTTAATGGATGTTTTGAAAAACTGTGCTACAATACTTGCCTTAAGAAAAGAAAAAGTATTTCTCACCTACTCCTCCAACACCTTACTAAAGAGGAGGAAGTGTCAACAGAATGGGAACACATAGCTCTACTGGAAAGCCAGGAAGAGAGGCAGGGTCTCACAAGCAACAGCAAAATGGAGGCAGTTTAGTGTCACTGCAGCACCAGTAACCAGCTGTACTGAATGAGAGGTGCATTTGGGAGCTCGTACAGAAATACTTTAAGTCAGCAGGTACAGCTCTCAACAGTACAAAAGGGACCTGCAGGATCTTCTGAACAAAAGCATCTTGTGACAGACGAGCTTTCAAGAACAAGTGACAGAGGGCTCTGGAGCTGAACCAAAACTCAAGGACAGCTCTCCTTTTAAAACAATAGCAAAACAAATGCAGGAAAGCTTTACTCTTATGTAGCTGCCCACTGTTACAGTAATGCTGATTGTTTCTGGGAGGGAAGAGGATGTGAGATTTAATTCCAAACCAAGAAACTAACTGGACACTGTACTAATAGTACAGCTACTGGATTCCAGGATGGTTGGTGGCCTTTTCTTTCAGCCTAGTAAAATGTATGCCTGGTTTTATCTGAATTGCAGGGGTAACTTCAAACTTTGAATCCACTTCATCATTGCACGTTGTCCTTAAAAAGTGCTTCATTGCTGAAGAGCAATCAGAATGAGTAACTGAATTCAAAAGGCAGTTAAACATTTTACACCAGCATAATATCTACACATTCTTCCCGTGTACCACCAATGATGGTCTTTACCGTCAAGAGAAATGCAAAATGCACTGAAATTCCATTCACGGGTCATGCAACTACCTTAGGAGCATCAAGTGAAAACCTCAAAATGTTTTTTCTTAGCACAGTGAAAATTCACTGTTCACGTTGAAAGACTAGTAAGTGCTGAAGCACTAGACTTGGATTTAAAAAAGAGATCGGAACTCACATCATTGACTACATTATCTCTTAATTTGAATTAATTTACTCAAAGAAATGTTAGTGGCTGTCATCATGTGTTCTGTAATAAAATTAATTTTCTGATAAACTACAATGAAATTAGGGTTTGGAAAAAATGCATTTTTATGACTTAACCTCCAGACAGGTTTGCAGGATCAAATACAATTCCTACCAGATTTCCTTGGATATTCAGCTGAAGTACAAAATTTAAATCTGCCTCATCTTGCAGGAATTGTACTGCTTTATGACTCACAGACCCTAACAATCCACTTTCAACTTAACATAAATGATACAAATTACCTGTTCTAAGGTCATGAGAGCTCAAGCATCTCTCGATCCTGTTCAGTTTCAGACTGATATTTAATTTTACTTCATTAGGACAGAGTTTGGCCCTGATGTCAATTTTGCTTTGTTCCCTTTCCTTGCTTATTCTACTTTAATATACACAAAGTTTGAGTTTTGCTGAGAAGTCATACTGAAAGAATAATCAATTTATATTTTCAAACAGCTATTAAAAGATGCACTGTACATGTAAAAGCAAAACTTGCAACAACAGTTTAGTTGGCCTAAATGTTTTAAAACATAAAGAAGGAATGACTTTTTATTAACTAATACTGAGAGGCTTTCTACACAGCTGCTGGCAAACTAATACAACTTAAAATTTAGTTTCTTTAGCTACAGTATGGATTATTTTGTTTTCCTGCCTTCTAGTGTTTAATTTGGATAGGGGACATGTTAGGACTGCTCGCTAACAGGAAAGCAAATAAGAAGGCATACATTATATAGGTATTTAATACAAACACCTCTATCAAAGCTTTTCCTTTTCTTTTTTTTTGCCTACTTTTAAAGATGCCATTCAAAGGGGTGAATAAGAACAACTACACTTTTAACGCCACATAACATTAAGATTTAGTTTATCTACAGCATTTTGAGAAATAGAAACAAAGTAATCTTCTTGTATTAGAATGTCCTTGTTCTGGTAATTCAACTATGTTACTGTCATCTTTAACATTGTAGAGGTTAAGTGTGTACCTACCACTAAAATTAAGCTTGCAGGTTTGTTATTTTTGTTAAAACAAAAGCAAAAACCAACCAAACAAAAAAAGACAAAAAACCCTTAACATCTGCACTTTGGCTACAAAAATTCTTGCAACACAATTATTAGAAATCAGTGTTGAAGAAAGTAAGATTAATTTTTTGCACTTCTGGTATATATGCATTATCTTTATCAGTTCAGGTTTTAACATACCTTGCTTTATTTTCTCAGGGATTTTGTGGTGGTTTTGTTTTGTTTCTTTCCTCCTACCTGCTCCTGCCCTGCTCTCTCATTTTAATTTAAATGCTGTACATGTGATTGACTCACTCTTCCCAGATTACATACCCAGAGAGGTAAGCCCACATAGAGAATTAAAGAGGCAATTCTAATAAACTGTAAAAAGAAACTGCTAAAAAAGAAGTTAGATTAATACTTCCAACAATTTAACTTAAGTGTTCTGCTGATGACTAAGCTAAGAAAGAATACACTTGAAACTCACTGCAGTGCGTATATGTGTATGTGTTTCTTAGGCTACTAATGAAGAGTGACGATTTCACTGCTGAAGTGAGATTCTTGCTACACCCCTGCAGGGTGGAGTAAGAACCCACGTTTATCACTACGTAAATGTGATTCTCGTGAATTAACATACAATCAGCATTTTGCACAACTATCTGTACTTATACTGTGACTGGATAACTACCCTTAAATACAATTTTTATAAAAAGGCAATGCAGAAGTAGTGATCAGTTTATAAAAAATGCTGCTCCAAGATTTCAGGTGTGCAGAGCTGTAAGTTTACTTCAGAATAAAACACAGACATAGGGGAGAATCAAAACTTTTAGAGTTGTACTTGACCATGTATTTGGACAAAGCAGAATTACACTGCATATAACAAACAGTAAAATTTCTTAAAAGTTGTTACAAATATTTTACTTTCTACCTGTACGATCATTAACATAGTTTACTATATCATGATTTTTTTCTAAAGGCTTAAAACGAAAACAATCTCTCTAAACTACTTTCCAACAGTAAAATTTAAGTAAAATGCTTACATTCATTTGACAACAAAAAAACATATTAAAAATGTTGTGTGGGTGGTGCAAGAGCTGCTCTTTCAGCTACAACTTTCTTCTGGGTTACTCCTGTGGAAAGAAAGAAAACAGTCTTGTTGTAATGTGCTAATAATCAAACTCCAAAACCTTGCATCCAATTACTTGGCACAGTGCAAGATGAACTGTCTAATCTGCAATTCACTGAACAATTTACCTTTTCCTCTTTGCGTCTGTCCTTTTCTTCATTATTCTCAATTGTTTCTTCCTCATCTTCCACAATCCCATCCCCTTGATATTTGTCATGTGTCCACTTCGGACTGCTACCTGACTTTTTGAAGTTAAAACGCCCTCTGCCACGCTGGAAAGTACCACGACCTCTTCCTCTTTTGGCCCAATAATCCACACCATCGTCTCTGTCATCGTGCTGCAATAACACCAGAAAAAGAGTAAGGTTAGATACCTCTTAAATGTACCCTATATTGTTAATACTCTGCTATAGCAAACGTATAAAACAAAGTAACTGTTAAAAAGTTCTCTTCAGATTCAGTATTTATTCTTAAAAAGCATAATGGTGTAACTAAAACCACAACAGAATTGTATGAAGAACTCTTATTCACTGTGGGTCTATCAAATGTGTTAGTAAAAAATCACTTGACTGTAACTTACACTCAGAATTAAGAATTACTAGTTTTGAGGGGGAAAAATTGTTACTTTAGAAGAAGCTCTAGGAAAGTGCTAGGTTACTTTAGCACAGAGGGAGTTCTTTATACATAAGTATCAGTAACTGAAGGCAGTTTTCAAAAAAACTGCCCCACCTGCACAATGTAGGGCAAATTAAGTTCAAATTGTTTAAAGCTAACATTACCAAACAATCATTGAGTTTCTCTGGTTAATAAGCCTTAAGTTTGCTGTCTTGCTACCAAATAAAGCCTTACATAGATTCGGAATGTTTTCACAATCATTTCATGCACTGCATGAAATCTACAAACCGTTATTTAATATAAAAAAAGTTTATCTTTAGAATGGTGAGGTTCACTTGCTTCAACATAGCTTTTTTAACTTGTGATTTGGAAAGAAGTCTGAACTATTAAACACGTATCACACCCATATAATGCAGTTTAATTACACAAGTAGTTGAAGGGTGGCTTATTTAATTTAAAGTATTTTTAGAAATTCAAGTTTAAAAGCTACAATTGATTGTTCTACTATCATTAATAGATTATCACATCTCTGTTTACAGATCAGAAAAGTTTAGGTATCTCTAGGAAGACAGAACTCCTTAAAGAAATACCTGAATTGTGACTGCATTATTTCTTAGCTACCTGTTAACATATTTGTGACAAGCTATAATAGCTAGATGAGAAGGTCTCATCTTCATTACTGATAATTTTTCAATGATGAAACAATATCCTTCTGTTTACACTGTTATGGAAATAACTGGAGCAGAGGCCACACAGTCAGTGTACTGCACTACTTAGAGTGGTTACATCAATGGTCCTCCTTTCATAATCCAGATGGGAAAAAGGCATCAAAACTGTGGTGATTTTCTTATGACTATCACACTACTCAGAGCATAAAACTGCTTGTAACAGAGTCTGCCTATGTATATCCACAAGTACTGTCAGCTTTTCCTGATCTTTCACTTCTGTAGACTTCCAGACCAATCTAAGAAAAATCTCACATGTCATACAGACGTAAATCCAGGAAAACGCTGCACAGACGTTTTTGGTTTAAAGTTGGATTTTAATAAATTTTGCCTGAACCTGCCTTCTTCCCCACTCCCTGATAAAATTTCTGGAGATAAATTCCATGTTAGGTGTCAGTTACTGCCAGCCTGCTGAAGAAAGATGAAAGATAAGCAGAACCAACCACTACAGCCACCTGATACTCTCTCAGTTACCCTAGTGCCTGTCCATACATGCATGCTACTTCTACACTTGTAGAAAGTTTGAAAAAACAAAAGCATGCATAAGACATCGAGTTCTCCACACCCACCAAGAAGTATTTCTTGCTTTTTGGGGTATATTCAGGATCCCATTCCTCTTCCTTCGGTCTCTTCTGAAAAGTAGTATTTGAGTTGCTGGGACCAGTATTTGTTCCAGCAAAGACTCCTCTGGCTCTTCCTCTGCCCCTAATTCGAAACTGATTAACCAAGATGTCATTTAATCCATTTACATAACACCACAAAGTAGAGTTCAAGTTCTCTATTACTGAAAATACTTTCTGTGCTTAATTACAGTATCTGCAAGCGGAAAACCATTTTCAAATTCACATACTACCTTAAGTAATATATTCAAGCATTCATTTTGAAATAATAATTCTATTAAACTTAACTGAAATACATTTGAGCTCTTGGCATAAGTTCTCCCACAATCACTGAACAGAAATTTGACTGCTAGTAAACCAGTGTGTTGAAACAAAAGGTCACAAGAAGCTTCCGAAGCTGCTCACAGACAAAAAACCAGGAGGAAAACTAGACTGAAACAGGGACAAAACTGTCAGGGGGAAAAAAAAGGTATTTATGGAGCCAACTGAATAATTTATGAAACAGTGATTCTGAAATACATACTAACAACAGTGCAGTTTTCAAAGGAGTATATCCACTGTGTGTTACTCAAGCAATTTTAACTGAGATTCAAGAATGTACCTTAGGCCAAATTACATTCCAAATGAGTAAATTCCTTACTCAGAAAAAAGTCAATAGTATGTACTGTGCAGAGAGTAGCAATGCTTAAAGTGAAGAAAGAGTGCTTTAAATATTCTTTACAATTAATTACTGGAGTTTTAAAATGCTAGGCTAGAAAGTCTCACACCAAAAACCACCCTCCACTCAAAATACACTAAGTAGTAATGTATACGGTTATCCCAGCATGTAAATACTTAGCTTGTAAAAAACATTAAATGAGTTTACATCCTTCATCCAAGGGGAGAAGAAAGGTTAGTTTGGGAAGATAAGACTGCTAAAAGCTACAGTTACTATAGAATACAATTTCCACAACCTACTTAAAACACCGAAGTGCATCTTCAGAGTAATATTACAAAAACATGACTGAAAGCTAATGTATTTGTTAAAAATAAGCATGTTTCATAAACACAGATCAAAAATGTATATAATTAACGAACTCAGAAGATAAGTATTATGCATACTTAGTTCCACAAAGCTCCAAACTTCTAAAGCAGAATTTATGCTGGACAGATTTAAAATTACTCTGAAGTCAAACAGACTGTAAAACAATCTACAGAAGGCTCATAAGACCTATCCAATACTCTGGAGGAAAAAAAAAAACCAAACAAAAAATTTGGAGAGTCACTTGGAAAGCAAAAGACTAACTGAACAAGGGAGGAAATAAGACATGCTTTTTTTATTTCCAACAGCTTCACAAAATTAGGGCACAACAAACAGTAACCTGGGGGGAAGGTCAGGGGGCACACAGAATTATGACAGGCTTTAAAAAGAGGAAAAATAAAAAAAATTATCAGCATTTCCTGGTATTCAGTCCTGCGATCAGATTCCCTTTAGGAAAAACACCTACAGTTTTCCTTAGCATTTTATTAATGCTTTCCCCACCAAATCATGTAAATCATCTAAAGAACTACAAGACATTAAATCTACTATGGTGTTATCTTTTTGGGCTCGCTTATTAGAAAGACCACCACAAAAAAGACAAGAATATATTTTCTATTTAGAACTCACTTTAAACAGAGCTGCTACACAGAATTTTTTCAGATATGGATACTAATGGCATTGCCATTGAAAAATTCTACTTATCCTTTTTTCTATGTCCACGTTTCAAAATTATTCATGATGCTTATGTATGGGAAGCCTAGAATCCAACAGAATCATGTACCAGCCAAAGTTAATGAAAAAATATTGCTGATTTAACATTAGCTTGCTGGATAGGGGAGATGTTATATTCTCCAAGGCTTCCTGTTAGGAGAAGGATTCAAAAACGAAGCATTTTATTTACTCCAAAAGCAAAACAGTATTCGCTGGAATGCAGCCACTATTAGTCTGTGTATAGAAACACATTCCTACACTACCTGGTCTGTATTTTTGATACCATCCAAGATATACCCCTAAAGAGGAGATCTGAGTCAGCAGTTGGCCTATTCAGATTCATTTGCTCCGACACTTTGCTCCAAAAGCCTGTGTGTGACCCTGTATGCTGTTAGGAAACATTAACCTGTTATCACTGCATAGACTGAATTGGCAGTCACTAGCAATTAAATTAGTAGAGATCTATTAACTTTGCAGTTCACATCTACCTCAATTGCATGTAAAGTAGCACCTCTTTCACAATACATACAATCTGGTTTTATAAAGCAGGAAGGCTTCAACGAATTACAAGTTTTCTCCCACTAAATCTCCTTGAGAGGAGACGGGAGTTTTAAGCTCATTTTTGTTTATGCCACTATTTTGTATAGCTAGAAATTGTGTTGATAGTCATATTTGATGCCTACACCATCCACGGATTTATATACTTATGCCACATAGTTCCACAGCGTAACTATATAACAAAGTAAGAAGAAAGGAGGAAATGATGCACTTTTCATGCTAGAAATTTACAACTTGGAATCTTCCTCCAGGTAGCTACAGTTTTTTAGATGGAAGATTCAAGCATCAAGTGTTGGCACATGCCACATGGATTTCAGACACCCTTATGTATAGTTCAAAATATTTTTTGCATGACTAAACATTTATACTAAGCAATGCATTTTAGCATTACTTGGTCTTAACTACAGGCTACATTAAGGAATTATTATTGACGTTTTAAATTACTCTTACTTATTATGCAAAACAGTTTTTCCCAATCTACAAGGAACTTGAACTTTTTTGTGTGTTTAGCCGTGGTTTGGAGGTCTATTTTGCCATGTTGTTGAGGGGTGGGTGTGTGGTGTCTAATTTGTGAGCTGTTTTGGTGGGGGTTTTTTTGTTTGTTTTGGGTTGTATGGCGTTTTTAAGTGCTCCTTATCTTTTTCAAGGCGTCCTTTAGTGATTCCAAATGCTTCTACATTTCCCAGTTATACATCAATAATTACGTTAACATGGAATCTGAAAATTTGAGATTTTTCTGAAGACTACAGTGGTCAGTATGCCACTTTCCAAATCACAATGCTTAAATACATTCCAGAGGAAGATCAATGAGCTTTCATGTTCAGTGGCTAGTCGAAGCCAAAGAAACACAAGAATAACATGTATACCATCTCCTCAATACTTCTGTTTCAAGGCTGACATATTTTTAATTATGTGCCATTCTCTATTAAAAAAGTTGCAGGCATTACATACAAAGGAGGGCAAAACAAAACCCAACACGAGAGGGAAAAACAGAAGCTGTAGGGAGCTAAGAGGTATCAGAACTCAAGATTTAAAGTTCACAGAATACTGAATTTTCAGATCCTGTTAGGAAACAATATTACAGAAGAGCAAGGAATAATCAAGAAATCCTGTTCCCCAGATCCTTATGCTAGGATCTCTAATGTCATGCTAATGCATATTTACATATCACTTAACTGCTACTGGGGATTGCTGGGTAAAAAAAAAAAAAAAGAGACTCAGTATTTCAGGTTCGGTACATCACATAAAGGCTACCTAAAGTCTGGCTTAACATGAATCACTACAACACTCCCTCGTTTTCTTTGTTATGCTATTACTACTAGTGAAGTGTTCATAATTTGGGGGAAGAATAGGATAAAAACTTACGAAGGTGCCTCTTGGCCTGTTGACTCCTGCAAAGCCAGAGTATTCTTTCTGTTCATGGTGGGTTTTGAACTCTTCATCTCTTTCTTTCTTGCAATCCTTTTCTTCTCGAGAACTGGATGAGGAAGAAGATGGGGAGGAAGATGGGGAGGACCGAGCACGGTCTTGGTCTCTTTTTTGTTTACTGAAAAATAAAAAAATATACTATGTGCTATTTTAAACATACTAGATAGTCTGTAACATGCTATACTAAAATGGGTCTCTATATTTTATGAAAAACTAACCCCCTTCTGGTTATAAAGTCACACATTACATATTTGAGATATTAAGGCAAAGTATATTTCCACTTTCCAGCCTCCTCTGACACATTTAAGTGCGATAAATGCATATTATTGCTGGTGAGTTGGAAAGCAGCAGTCTGCAAACTGTAAAATACAAGTTTTCTAGATTTTGATACCATGAAGAGATGCTGTTACTTTTAAGATCTGCCTTTCTTCTGAGGCAGAAAAACAGAGGTTAAAGGGAAAAAACCCTCAAAGTAAAGTTTTACAGTAACTTGGCACAGTTCAGTTTGCACACTGTTGAGAGGTATGGGCTTCCCTACATACTTGGCTGTAGGGAAATTAGCCAGTGGAAGACAATGTGGATACCAAAGTCAAATTAAATGGGAAACAGGAATTGTAAGTAAAATTCACTTTATATACAGTACAAAGCAGGGAAAAAATTCCTACAGCAAAACATTTAGTAACCCCATAATGGTATTAACTTGACCCAATTTACAAGATTTTAGCATTCTATTCAGAGAAAGGTCATACCTGAAGTAACTCTTACCACTTCTACACAGTATCCACTGAGATATGCTAACATTTTTTCTTAAAACAGCCCACTGGCTTTAGACAAAAATTTAAAAATTCCCCTTCTCACCCATGTTAAAACCTAAGTATCAGTAAAATTCTCATACTCTGGGTGTTATGAGTGGAAAAAGTGCGGAATCAAGCATAACGAACCAAAGTTCTTACACAAACTGTTTATAGAAATGTACTGCATTGAAGTCCAACCTCCTGATGTAGCCTGGATAATAGGACAGATTAATTTGTCATTTTTTTTTTCAGTGTTAGCTTGCTATTCCAAAGTTTTTGTCCTCATCCACCATAAGCCGTGTAAAAGACAGATAATACATATTTGCTGTAAAACAAATAATTTTAATTGTTTAAAATTAAATGTTCCATTATTCATTGAAAATTGAAAGCAATTAAGCTTACAATTATAAAAGGTTAATTAGAAGCTAAAATCCTCTATAAGGACTTCAAATATTTACCTGTCATCTTTATAAGATTTGTAATCCTTGTAATCTTTTGGAGTTTTCTCCTGCTTTCTTGACCCACTGGATTCCCTGGAACCCTTTGAGTCTCCTCGCTCTTTACTTCGTTCTTTTCTACGTCGGTCAATGTCATGCCGAAGATCAGCAGAATCACACCTTAATTTTTTATCTCCCTGTAAACAAATACATATTTTGCAACAAAATATTGAAATAAAACATGAAGAGAATCTCATGAAAAGCCAAGCTGTGCATCAATTAAAATAAAAAAAGATAGAATTTACCTATTTTTCAACAAACTTCAGCACACAAATTGACTTTACCCTTTATATGCAATGGCTACATCTAAAAAAAAGAACAGCTAAGAATTTCAATTTCAAACGAGCATTCTCATCAAGCTAATTGGTGTCTAGTTTTCGATGATACAAACTACAATACATGGTTTGAAGGGATAAAATTAAGTATTCATTTCTTCTGGTGAATTGTTTTTAAACAGAGCACAAGCACCTTTACAGTTCAACCACACTACTCACTGACCATCCTGGTACTTCCCTCTGCCTCAAGCCTATTCTTTGTCCTTGGGCAGCTTAGTGGTCAAGAAACATGCAAGAAGAAAGGAAGCAGGGCAGAAGACTTATCCTTATATACTATGTTATTAATATAACAAAATCATGCTACATAAACCAGCTTCTTGGTAACATGTTTTACTCAAAGGATAAAAAATTCTAACTGCAAGTACTCTAGGTACAATACACAGAAAAACAGAGATTGAGATTTAAAATGAGACTAAGTTTACTAAGTTTAGAAGCACAGATAGAACATTTATTTAGAACCTACTTTTTGACTTTCTTCCTTAAAGACTCTCTCTTCACCTGTTAAACGAGTATGCTTCCTCAGCGTACTTGGAGAGATGTCAATCCTCCTAAATGTAAAATAAAAGCGGTGTCTTGCCATACATGTACAGCACTGCTAACAGCCTCAGACATTTCATTTCAACAGAAAACTGACAAACAAGGCATTTTTTGCAGCAGAATAAACTTTTTGCATTATTAAACCTCCCCATCAGAACACAGAAGCAAACTAAAAATGAAAAATCATAGTTCTGTTCTGTGTGAAATATGCTAAAAACAAAAATACAGAAAACAGGCAGACTGATGTTTCACATTTTAAGTATAGCTTGGAAGACAGAAAAAAAACGTTTAATCGTTTAATGATTTATTCCAAAAGGACCACTATATGTAGCCAGTTGAAAGTCCACCCCCTCCAAGAAACCATCAGCACTATGATAGTGGGCTGTAAAGTCAAAAATTCTTAACAAGAAGAATTGTGAAGTTAGATACTGTATCCTCACATGCAACACAAATATAGTACACTGCATCATAAAACTAGAGCACATGATCAGACACTACATCTGCATGCCTACCTTCTTACCTTTTAGATTCTCAGATTTTTCAAAAAACTGCTGTAAATTAACACACACAAAAACTAAAGTAGTATGAGATGGAACATTTCACACTGAAGAAGAAAGATGCATGTACAGGGCTTCTTTTCATCTTCAAGACATATGCCCCTCAATATTTGAGCACTGCATGTGAGAAAAGTAAATATATCCCAAATGAGATACAGAGGTAGAGAAGACATCTGTCACAAAACCACAGATGAAGCCAGACCTGAATCAGATGAGTTCTCTTTTACAGAAGGGTTTTGTTTTTTGGGTTTGTTTGGTTTTTTTTTTTGTATTCTGTAATTATACAAATTACCTCATCCAGATTAGAAAAAGTATTTTGGGTTCTCAGAAGAAATATCAGAAGACATTATTTGAAACACACAAAAAAAGAAAGCATCTGCATATGCAGTTAATATATACCTATGTATTTCTGGGCTCTTTTGTCGGGTGCAGTGCTCCTCAGTTGCTTTTTGATACGCAGTGAACCTCTCATTTAGCGTCATTCCAGCCGACTTGAAGTATTGCTCTGTTGGTTACAATAGAAAAAAGACACTGTTTCATTAGTTTAATTCAACTGACACGTATTTTACTCCTGACAGAAAGGTAAGTAGCTGGCAAAACCCACAGTGCTTTCAATAAATTTATTAGGGCAAGCCAATGTGGCATTTTCCCTATTTTTACACACTCTGTAACCCAAACAAAATAGCAGCGCACAGCATCACTGCAAGTCTACTATGCCATGACTGTATCATATCTAATTCAAGCATCATTTACTGACTGCACTTGCTCATTTTCAGTGACATTTTCCTCTAATGATAAAGAGCAATTTCTTAAACTATTATTTTATGCTTTGCCGACAAGAGAAAGTGAGATTACTTTTCAGTCATGAATACTTGCAGCAAGTACACTTTACCATTCATCTTAACTTAAAATAAGAATTAGTGAAAACATTGAAGTAATGTACACTTCAATAACTATATGAATGACCTGACAAGTCTTTTCTTAAAGGAATACAATTTCTTGATTGGGTGATGATAAACAATACAATTAACACACCTATGCATAAATAAATTCATTTAAACATCTGGCATCTTGGCAAACTTGACAACTTCTCTGACAAATTTTTTCCTTGCTTCTGAGACAGTTAAATTAGCCACAGCAAAACTCAGTTTTTAAACCAGCTCAACAAATGTGTTTAAATGTAATCTAGAAATACATAAAGTCATGAGCTATGAAATGTTACATATGAAGCAAGCTATCTGCTTAACAGGTCAACATACATCTGTATCAACTTACCGCCCGGCATCCAGCATTTGTCTCATAACCAACCATTAAAACTTGAAACGGCCACTACAAGGGTAGTGCCTCAATCATAATTCCATCAAACACAGGAATTTGAGCTAGTAATTCTGTTTTTATGCCATTTTTGCCAGGAAGACAGAAGGTTCAACTTTGCCTGTTTGGCATCTGTATCTTTCAACAGCTATTTTACTTTTGTAACATGGATTTTGCCATTTCAAAACACATTCCAGGACCTAGTTACAATGAAAAAGAAAACATCACTGGGCATTTTCAGCTCTACATTAATAAAGAGCTGTTCAGACTGGTCGCATCACACCAATAATGAACATAACTTCAGTTTGTCAAAAAAGTTACAAAAATTCTGCTTACAGACCACAGTAAATCTGAAACTTAAAAGAGATGTTCTGCTTTCAAAAATAACCACAACAGTACATATCCTAGTAACTTGACCAGACAGGCTGTTAAATTTATCAGATATTCAACACATAAAAATTTACAGAAAAAGTCTATTCTTTGATCAACACGTGAGAGTTCCACAAGTATTATTTTCACCTACAGCTACATATTTACCATATTTACCATATAAGCAAAACTTTACAGAAGCTCTCACTGGATTGAGTCTTACATTTCTTTATATATCAATAAATAGATACGTTTCCAACAAATCATTATACACTAAACAGGTATCCCAATGACTTTTTTAAACTAATACATGATCAATATCCATTGTTGTTGACTATTACCTTGTAAGTAATTCAATACGAAAGAAATAATTTGGCCTTAGTAATCTGAATTATGTCAACAAAATTAGATTTTTAACTAAACTTCAGCACATATTTCTAGCACACATATCTCAGCAATTTTAGACTCCAATGGATCTTAAAAACAATGCTTACAGGCACAGTCATTGAAACTGGTACCTAATTAAGCATTTCCACTTTTCCCTCTACTGTGATGATACGGCAAAATTAATTTCACCACCTTTGTATTATCTCAGTTACATTTAACACAATAGCAAGACAACAGTCCAGTGAAATAAAGCAAAATCGATATAAAAAAGCATTTAAAGAACACTCTAGACATTCCCAGGGGATTTCAGGAATTATCTATTTTCCCACCAAAAAACTTCAGAGGATATATGACCACAGTGAAATATATCTAATTTGATGGTCCAGGTTTGGATTTCAGTGGTTTCTGGGGCAGAACTTGGGTTGTGCTTGGTTTGTTGAGGGATCTCTTGGTGTTTACAGAAAATAGCCACTACTGTTATATCAGAAAATAAACAGCATATAGCTCATTTACTGGGGGTTTATTTAGCCACTGCCAAGTTTCCATAAGTGAAATTCCTAAAAATATTGTCATATAGGAATAAAACATTATCATAATGAAGTTTACTACCAATTAAAATACAATTTTTCTTACATCTTACTGAGAAAAAAAAAAACAACCTGCTAATAAGAAGCTGGAAATTACCTCTGGAGTGCTCCAAAAGGAATGCCATTGTATTTACAGTCCAAAAACATCTGTCAACCCACACCGCAACATTTAATATAAAATTGTATTTTAAGACTCATTAAAATTAAATTAGAAAAACTGACCAGTGTAATACGTTTAAACTACCCTGCAGAAATTCAAACTTTCTATGCTACCTAGGCTCAAAATTTACCCAGAAACATAGAATACCTGCTATTATACTCTACACTGCTTGTAGGTTTTTTGTCCTAGTTTCTGTGGCTATTTTTTTTCTGATTATTTTCATGCATACCTCAACAGGAAGAAAGTCTGGTTAAATCACAACTTTAGAAGAGGCCCAAAATCTCCCTGTACTAGAAACAGCAAATGGGTTTAAATGAACTTGTCAGACACGTATCCAGTACAATAAACTAAATGCATACCTTTGACGTGGTGAACCAAGGACACAATGTGCTGAATAAATGACTCTGATGTGCTTTTGCTGGCCTGTGGCAACTTAATGTGGTCAAAGATGGATCGGAATTCTTGCTCCTTCTTGACGGAATGGACAAGTGTGCTGGCAAGCAGCCTGTCTTTAGTCAAGGAAGCAGGTCTAAAATGCATCAACAACAAAAGAGATACACAAAAAAGAAACCACAAGTTTAAATAAATATGAACAACACTGCAGGCAGGTGGAGAACCACAGTGTTAAGTGGAATAATTTACCTATTGGAATCATCAAGAGGTACTGGTGCCATTTTGAGTTTAACTTCAGGACGATGGGAGTCACTGGCTATCATTTTGATCCTAAGTGGGCTCTCCTCTCTGAAGGTGGATTTTTCTCTCGCATCCAGATTCTTGTGTAGAGGAGGACTGTAATCAAAGAGTTCTTTGAGCTTTTCAGACTTTACCTGCTCAGGTGACTGAGTTTCTTTCTTCATCATTAGTCTCTCAGAACTCTTGTCTTCTTCCTTGTGCTTATCTTTTGTTGCACTAGGCCTTTCCACTACATAGCCAGTCTCTTTAAGCTTATAACTTTTCTCATCTCTAAATCCATCGCTCTCTCTACTGCCCTTGATTGATATTTTAGATTTGTATTTGGTTCCTTCCTCCTCAGCATTCCGGTGAGATGCAGTAGGAAAATTTTTACCCTGATCTGCCAGGACAGATTTTCTGAACTGTCTGTAATCCTCTGTCTCCTCTGTGTCCTCCCCTTCAGAGTCATTAAACTTTTCCTTCCCAGTCTCTTTATCAACGAAAAAATCTAAAGTTTCCTGTTCCTCCCATTCCCTTTCTCCCTCTGTCCTCCCTTTTTCTGATCCTCTCTCCTTTTGGGCCTCCTTCTCCCTGGTATTACCCCTATCAAGCAGGTATACTCTAGACTCTTCATCTGTGTACCTGTGGATAGCAAAGAAGAGACTGGTAACTCTGGATTGCATTCATTCCAGTTCACTCGCATTCCTCTTTCGTGTCAATTCCACACCAAGAAGAAGATTAAAATACATTCCTCCAAGTAATTAACTTTAGCATGCAATGCCTGGCACACCATTAACACTGTATCCACTGTCATTTATGCCCTAATGGAGGCATCTGAAGAATATAATGCCTTTCTATAGAATGCCTAGAAATTTACTTCCTTGTTTTCTTAATCAGGACACCCAGTTTCACATTCTCTTACAGTAGTAATTTTTTCCATCAAATTCACATGGTTTGAAAATTCAGACCGCAATTCATTTTTGCACTTCTTTTACTGAAAGAGTTGAAGTAGCAGCATAAAAAAAGTAAATTCTTTTCAAGATCCTGCACATTACTAGATAATTCCACAATCTGGCACAGGCTGAGTGCATTCACTATATTGTGTTCAAGCAAGGAACCTTTAGAAGGCAGCTCTCCTAAACACAGAAACACACCAATCAATTATTTCAGCCACTGCCTTATCTGTATGCTATGCTCACACAGGTTCTAATACGTATTCCAACACATCTAATCCAAGAGAAGTTGTATTTTTGATCTCCTAAGCAGTATTTTTTTTACATAATAAATCAATGACTAGACAAATTACTTTAAAAGCCTACAATCAAGCCTATAATATAGCATAGTCACAACTTGAACTCATTTTGTAAGCAATCCTCTGAAACACCAGTCACATTAGAAAGGAACGGTCTAATGCCAGTAAGACTTATAACTTTCAAAAATTACTATGTCAAACTTTTTAAGAAAAAATTGAAGAATTTTACATTCATTGGAATATATACACTGAACTTATTCACACTGACAGCATTATATTCCTAGAATACCAAAACCTACCCTCTTTGATAAGTAAAGCAATTCAAGACATCAAAGTTTTCATACTGCACCACACAATTAGCAATTGATGCTGTTTATGTCAACATAAAGAAATTATTGCAAAACATCAACATTTCTAGACTTCGAGAATATTTACATTTCAAACTACACGAAGCATTAAAATTTTGAAATACCTGAACAGAGTTCACTATCAAGCCAGCAAGTTTGATGCATTATTCAAATTAAGACTTTTCTTAATAGGAAAAAATTGAGTATAAGAAAATAAACCATAGAGGAAAAGCACAAACCAATTCTTCCTCAAAGATACATGTCCCTATCTGTACTAGCCAACATGCAAGGCCTTGAAGCATCCTAGCAGGAAAAGGCATATATATATCTTTCAAGCTCAATTCCAACCGGACTAGTATTACTATCATTCCATAATGCATTTTCCAAGGCAGTGGTGATAATCTTGACAAAACTCTTAACATTTTTAAGAGGCAACAGTAGGCTTATAACTTGGTTCTTACCTTTTCATAAACTTTCCACCTTTTGCAGTTTCTTGTTCACCACCCTCAGGATAAAACGACCGCACTCGAGCCTCCTCACGGGGGGCACTCTGTGATGGGATTGTCTTTGCAGGGCTTCTCCTCGATGGGATATGATGCAATGGGCTATTCTGAGAAGGACTATAGCGGCTAGAACCATTTCCAAGAGAACCAGAGCCAGATCTCTCAGGACTATGCTGAATGGAATGGGAATGCTGAGGTGTGTCCTTTGCTGAGTGGGCTGTGCTAAGCAGAGGGGCATCGGAGCAAGATGAACTCTGACTAGGTGGGGTGGCAATAGAAGGACTATGGGGTGACCTTGGACTGTTATCATACGCTGAAAGGCCAGGCCAAATGTCGCCAGAAGCTGCTGCTGATTTGTTAAAATCGTCAAGAGATTCAGATGGGTCATGTTCAAACGCATCTTTCTGTTCATCTTGTGATTTATTTTTCAAGGGACTGTCTTGCAAAGGAGCCCCTTCAGTTTTCTTTGCCTGCTTTTCCAGAGATGCGCGTCTTTTGGAAGAGACAGGTGATTTGCTGTAGGGGGATGAAGAACGAGATGAAGAAGATCTCGGGGACCTAGAGGATCTGTAAGATCGACGAGACCTGCTCCGGGACCTCTGGGAAGACACAGACCTTCGTTTTGGACTTCTGGAACGTGAGCGGCCACGCCTAGGGCTTCTGGAGTGTCTTCGGTTCCACACAGGCCTATAACCTCCACGATGGTATCTACCACCTCCTCCTTGATAATATCCTCTACCTCTTCCTCTGTAACCATAGGGACGTCTCATTCCTCTATTGTTTCTGTAATCTCTGCGATAATCTCTAGAATAAACACGATCTCTGCTCCGAGATCGGGAATACGTCCTTGACCGAGACCTAGAACTAAAATTAAAAAGCAAACATTTA